GAAAGTATCTCCGATAATTTCAAAAAGAATTTTAGTAATTTAAGAAAAATTTCAGTAATTCTACTGAAATTCCCAATAATCCACCGTAATTCTACTGTTTTCAGAATAATTCCTATGCGTAATTCCAAATTAATTTCCGATATTACAAATTATTTTACGTAATTCCGAAAAAATTTTATCGAAATTCCAGTAATTCCAATAATAAATCGCAATGTTTACAGATTAGTTCCAACTTAATTTCCGTAATTTCCAAATTATATAATTCAAACTTGATTTCTGTATTCCAAAGAAATTCAACGTAATTTTCGAAAAAAAAATTCCAAAAAGAATTCCACTAATTCCAAACAATCAAAATATAATTTTAATAACTGGGATTAAATTCCAAAAATTTGTATATGTATAACTAATTCCAAAATTAATAGCCCCCTCGTTTTGATTTAATAGTAAATTTAGATTGTATGGTAGGCAACCAACAATACACATGTGTATATCAAGTTGCATAAAACAAATAATATTTACCATATAAAAGTAGGAAAGTGCGGCAGCAACGGCCCAAAACACCGACCCTGTCTTCACCGACTTGATCCAAAGAAAATAAGTGAATTGTAGGGCAAAAATCGCAATTCCTTCATTATCGTAACTTCCAGCAACCGACCGACTTATATATCCAGGCACAATGGCAATAAAACACGCCGCGAAGAGGCCAGCCCCCGCCGACCACAGCTCCTTGGTCAGGAAGTACGTCGAGATGGCCGTGAGACCGCTACAACCCCCACAATCACCCCAACTGTCTTAAAAAAACCAACACAATTACCTGAAAATGGGGGCCAGAAACACGCAAATATCCCTAATATGTACATTGATGTTCAGCAAATGCAGCACGTAGTGTATGCTCCCCGACGTGAGCATCAATCCGGGGTACACTGTGCCCCCCACAATGCGCCCCAACGGGTACCAAGCCCTCTCATCGAACCAATTCAGGAAGTTGTAAAAGCCGTGCTTGACCATGTAGGCCGTGGCGCGGTAGTTGAACCTGAAACTGGGGGTTAGGGGGCGAAATCAAGGGGGTGTCTCACCATGGGTCGAATTCGTGGATTATGCTCTCGAAGCGAATCACGGCGAAGAGACGGGAGGAAAAGCCGGCGATCCATGCGAGGAGGAGGACGACGAAAATTATAAGACTGTTTATGCCGGTTTTACTATTTATTTTGGTTAATTGGGATTTTTTCGAACCGGCTTGGGCCATTTTTGACAAGTGAAAACATGACACGCATACACACTCGAGAGGTTACTTGATCGGCAGACGGACGATTCTGATTGGCTGAGGGGTGACATGTGGAGCGGTGCCATCGTGAAAAAACCAAATTCACCAGATACGAGCCAAATTCACGCCTACTTCTATTTTCTGACTCAGAAACACAAATTTTAGCGCGAACTAAATCGTTTTTGGAGAAACGATTCAAAATTTGAAAATTTTTGCTACTACAAATTGTGTTCAGTGCTGCCAACCTTGTTTAAAATACTGTTGCAAATTCACAATTTTCATACTTAAAACACTAAATTACATGAATTACGATGTAGTCTGTTTCATTTAATTAAAATTGTCAAAATGTTGATAAATCTTGCACGGTAACAGCTAATAGTGAATTTTAAAATTGACTTAACCATAACCTCACTAAACTGTATACAACTGTTTTAGGGTGGTACAGCTTGATTTTTCAAGAAATTTAAACGTTTATTAAATGAAACGGAATTTTTTATTTAATACAAAACACTGTGTTTAAAATCAGTTCAAAAAATTGTGGTTAAGGCTTTTCTTATTGTTTCAACAAACCAACTGATAAATTATTTGCATTTTTTGACCCAAAAATTCAAAATAATTCACTTCTTGATTCACCAATACCGGTTTTAATCGTAATTAGTAATTTTTAAAAAAATCATGTAAAATTCAGCTTCAGTATTGCCAACCTTATCAACAATTTATTAGTGACTTTTGGCTCGGTACAGCGAAATCTCGCAAAAAACGGAGTTTTCAGCTTGAAATTAGGCCTAAATTCTCAAAAAAGCAAAAATGACATAATTTTCGGTGTAATTTTGTTTTTTTGAACAAAACTGCAAAATATTTGCGCGTTTCTAGCTGAAAAACGTGCTAAAACGCTCGAGAAACGCAAAAATAATATAATTTTCGACTTTGTTTGTTGATTTTGTGGTTTGTTTTAGCAAAATCTCGCAAAACGTTTGAGATTCTAGTGCTTAAAAGCATTTTTGACCAAATTTTGTGGTTTCTCTGCTTATTTTCTTCTTGGTGATTCTGATTGGCTGAGTGGTGACAAGTGGGAGCGGTGCCATCGTAAAAAAACAAAAATCACCAGATACGGGTTGAAAAGGAGCCAAATTCAGGCCTATTTCCATTTTTTGACTCAGAAACACAAATTTTAGCGGTAATTTAGAAAAACCAATTAAAATTTGAAAATTTTCACTGCCAGGGCCTTTACTACAAATTGTGTTCAGTGGTGCCAACCTTGTTTAAAAAAGTGGCGCAAATTCACAATTTTCACACTTAAAACACCAAAATACATGAATTATGATGTAAAGAATGTTTTATTTAATAAACAATTGTCAAAATGTTGATAAAACTTGCACTGTAATAGCTAATAGTGAATTTTAAATTCACGATTGGCAGCTCTGCCTACAACTGTCATAATTATTGCTATTTTTCGAGTGTGTATTTGGCTGAGATTTTAAATCAAAAGCCGAATTACGTGTTTTTCTTTTAAATTTTTATAACTTTTAATTTAATTGAGTTAATCATAACCTCACTAAATTGTATACAGCTGTTTTAGGGTGGTACAGCTTGATTTTTCAAGAAATTTAAACCTTTATTAAATGAAACAGACTTTATTATTTAATGCAAAACACACTGTATTTAGGATCTGTTCAAAAAATTGTGGTTAAGGCTTTTCTTATTGTTTCAACAAACCAACTGATTTTTTTAACACAAAAATTCAAAATAATTCACTTCTTGAAGGCCTAAGAGTTAGGTAAAAATATTATAATATAGTTTTTTTTACAACAATTTAGTGATTTTTGACACGCTGTAGTAAACTCTTGCGAAAAAAATAGAGTTTTCAGCTTAAAAATCTGCTTGAACTTTCGAAAAAGAAAAAAATTATATCATTTTTACATTTAATTATTTATCATTTATTAGGAGTATCATTTCGATTTAAGTTTGTTTTTTTTTACCTGCTTCAATGAAATTTTTAGAAATCTCTTTATTTTAAAAACACTCAAAAAGGGCAAAAATAACGTCGTTTTTGGTCGAGTTTGTTAAATTTATGAATTGTTTTCAACGAAATTTTATGTTTCAGGCTGAAAAAGTATTCGAAAAAGACAAAAATATTCTTGATCGTGTCTAGTAAATTCTTATGAAAAAACAAAATTTGACGAAATAATCAAGTGTGTTGAAAACGTAGAAAATGTTTGAAAAACACTTTTTTTCATTTCCAAAAAATCAACTGAATTTTTACAAAAGTTTTTACCCACAAATCACCAGACTAACATGAAAATCACCAGATCTGGTGAAATTTCACCACATCTGCTGGCAACACTGGTTGGCTCAATGGAATCTGTATACTTTGGTTTGAAACCTTGATAAATTTTTGTTTACTTGTAAAATAATAAATGCATAATTGTTTACTTTTTATTGTAATTTTTTCTACAAACTGGACCAAAAACATCAAAAATTATAACACTTTATACGCATATAGAATTTAGTTATTTATTTAAAAAAATAAAGATATTTGGGTTAGACACTAATTTTTATTCATCCCAAATTTACGAGCATTAACATTACAATAACTCTTTATTATTTCTCCAATACTTGGATTAAAAAATTTATTAATTTTGCTCAACCTAACCTTACTTTTGAGCCACCCCAAACCTAACCTCAAAATGGCACTGTTTCCGTTGTTTACCCTCATTTGTGTCGCTTTTTGCGCCTCATTGACCCACTCCCAGGTGCGTATCCCGACAAGGCCCCCATTTTCCTCACTTTGGAGAGTTTCAGCTTGATTTTCAGTTCCCTGAGGGTCATACAAATAATTGGGCCGTTTTGGTGGACACTAGCCGTTTCTGGTTCAATTACCGTCATGTGGCAAACGTGCTTTCGATCTACCGGAGTGTGAAGCGTCTGGGGATCCCCGACAGCCAGATAATATTAATGATAGCCGACGACATGGCATGCAACCCCCGAAATCCGCGCCCCGCGACTGTCTTTAACAACGCCAACCAGCACATCAACGTCTACGGGGACGACGTCGAGGTGGACTACCGCGGCTATGAGGTCACAGTTGAGAATTTCGTGCGCTTGTTGACGGGGAGACTGCCCCCGGGGACCCCCCGATCCAAGCAATTGCTCACTGACGAAGGCAGCAACGTCTTGATCTACTTGACGGGGCATGGGGGCGACGGTTTCCTCAAATTCCAGGACTCGGAGGAGATCACGAGCCAGGAAATGGCCGATGCTTTGGAACAAATGTGGCAAAAACAGAGATATCATGAGATTTTTTTCATGATTGACACGTGTCAAGCCGCCTCGATGTACGAGAGGTTCTACTCCCCCAATATCCTAGCCGTGGGGAGCAGTCTCGTGGGGGAGGACTCACTTTCGGTCGGTATTTCCCCAAATTTTGACGTTTTCACTGATTTTTTTTGTTTAGCATCACGTGGACCCCGCAATTGGGGTCTACATTATCGATCGCTACACGTACTACGCCCTTGAGTTTTTGGAGAATGTTGACCAACATACGAAAAAAACCATGGGGGAATTTGTGAGTCAAAATTGTTTTTTTTTTTTTGTTTCGTTTAAAAATGTTTTTTACAGTTGAATGTTTGTCCGAAACGAGTTTGTATTTCAACAGTTGGGGTGCGACGCGATTTGTTCAAGAGGAACCCCCATGAGGTCCCCATAACTGACTTTTTCGGGTCTGTGAGACCCATTGAGGTTATTTCTAACGTAACTCTAGTGTCTCTAGTCACAAACACGACTAAAACTAAGTCAGTAATGCCACCAAAGAAGTATCGGTATATTCCACCTCTAGTTAATTTTAATTCAATTTTGTGACTTAAATAAATTAGTTTGAATCTTGGCGCCTTGGTGCAAAAATTAAACTCCCTAACAAAATCGACAACTTTCACCAGATCTGGTGATTTTTTTGGTGACTTTTTGAAGACAAAAATTCGACAAAATAAGACAAAATTGGTGTTTTTTCCCCCTTTTCCCTTCATTTTTGAACAAAACTCATTATTTATTTTGCAAAATCTTGTTTAAACATGCCTAAAAATCACAAAAGAGGAAAATAAGCCGAGAAACCACAAAATTTGGTGCTTTTAAGCACTACAATCTCAAACTTGAGATTTTGCTAAAACAAACCACAAAATCAACAAATAAAGTCGAAAATTATTCAAATGGGGAAAACATTGATGTTTTAGTACCTACCATCTATTGGCGGCTGATTTTCTCTTATACAATAGTTGTGGATAAAATTAATTTATAAAATTAAAAAGCTGCGCTTATAAGACCGTTTCAATTTTCGATTTTTCCATATATTGTCGTATCAACAAGAAATTACTCCCTAGGATTTAGGAATATTTATGAATAGGTTGCCATAAATATGGTTAGGTTGGTTGTTGGTGACAAACAAAAGATATCGTAACTAGTGTCAAAATTTTGGTTAAGTCACCTGTCAGCTTGTATTATGAATAATTTAATTGATAGTTGACAGCAGGTTGACAGAAAATGTCAACCGGCAACAACAAGGGGTAACCAACCTTAGGCATACAAAACTACTTCTGAAAATTCTAGTTACAAACAACATGAAAAATGTAATTTTCCTAAAAGTTCAAATCCTAGGTGGTAATTTATTGTTGACAAATCTTTAAACTTTGTTTCTGTGACATTTCGGGCGTCAGTACCTTATTGCGCTCCATCTACCGATTTCGATCGCAGTCGATTGAGATTTTTTTAGACTTTTTATTTTTAGGTTAAGTGCTTAAAACATCAATTAAAACATGAATGGTATAAAATATCCAAGATCCGAGCTTATTTTAGGTACATTCTGGACTAGCAAAATACTAATAAGTTAGAATTGCAAAAAAAACATGAAATCATAACACGAGGTAGGTTAGAACAATTTATAACTTCAATATTTTTCTGCAGTGGTTTGTTTGTTGAGTAATCCGTAATTTTTGTAGTGTCTTTAATACATATTACAAATACAAAATACAAAGTAAAAGGCTGTCCTGCATAAAACATTTCAAAAGTTTGGCACCATTTTTGCCTTTGTTTCATATTGCTCGGAATTTCAAATAAGCGAACATCTTTTGCCCCATAAATGAAACACGGTTTTTACCATTTTATACCATTATTTTGTAAAATTGAAGGGTATTGTTTTAAATTGCCGCCAAAATCTAACTTTGATTCGTTAATCGACCACTGAGGGCGCACGATAAGGTTCTGTTTTTTTTTGTTTTTGTTTTTATGGCCACTCTGCAGAAACAGTTATCGTGGTGAATGAAACGGCCTTATAAGCGTAGCTTTTTGATTCAGATGGCCTTGAAACGATAATATGGATGGCGCCATCTAGACCAGGATAGCGCGCGGCGCTGTTTCGGTCGATAATTCAGTTTCCCTTTTTACTTGTCGGTGGCGTTTGCATAGAAGGCGTTTGTGATTTATTAGCTGTCCAATCGTTTTTAACAGGTAAGTCAATGTCTTGATATTTATTAAATGTTATAAGTAAAATATAATTCGTCTGCTTTTCATTCATTTTCAACGGTTGTGTCGAAAATTAAAGTAAATGCAATAACTGAACAGCCACGTGGTATAGTGTTATCGTTTTCCAGTGTCGTAAAAGAAAAACGTTGCTTTCACGTTTCACGCCCAAAACATGATGGTAATAATTAATAAAATATTGTACTTATATTTATACTATTATTGTCAAGTTGTAACATGTGTTGAACTTAACCTAAAATGAGGTACAGGTTAGGCAATTTTCAGAATTTATGTTTTTGTAAAGGTTTTTTAATATCTCAGGAARTATCTACTTAAAGCTGACTCGTACTGTAATCAAGTTATTTCTATTCTTATTAGTTTGCTAGTTTCATAATCCAGAAAAGTTGTCCAAATCACGCAAGACTCGGCTGCAGCTATTTTTTATACTTGGAAATAAGTGAATAATCGCATTTATCGAAAAAAA